TATAGCATTATGCTTGCAGTATATACATACATACGTACATTCGATTGCGTTTTGCATGACCAAGATGTGTCTTAAATAATACTTACTTCCTTGCATACGGCCCGTATAGCTCCTAGCTCAAGTATTTCGACCTTTTGGAATTGGCCATCAGATACACCATCGCGATAGTAGATAATATAATTGGGATAACGATTCTGCTTTTGGAAATACACTTTTAGGTGATGACGGATGATGCTTTGCATGTCAACGATCTCTTCTTTTGTTGACTCTTGTAAACGGTATTGCATGTTGTAACAAGCTCCATTGAGGTCATGTGAGGCGGCCACGCCTACCACACTCGGTATGTTACGTTGATCGGGTGATGGATGAGTGACATCAGCACCCAAGAACATTGCATGGTCAAGCACAACGTGATTATTAGCCGCGATTTTGTGATTGGCTCCGTTTAGTTTTGAATTCACTTTCAACAATAAATTCGATACCAACTGATCGTTTACACCACGATTTAAAGTCTGCTCTTTGATACACTGCGTCAAAAGACCGCAAACTAATTCCGCTTTTTGTTTTATATCAGCATACGTGGTGCCATAGCCAGGAATAACAACTACAACCAAGTCATAATTTTTCTTTTTATATTCTTCCAGAGTCTGAACAATATTTTTGGTTTCCTGTATATCTCTCTTCTCATCCAAGTTAATATTCATACGCTTGGCGCTATTATATAACTGGAGTGTAGAGTAGTTTTGTTAATGCATATAATATTACATACATTGCTTGCTAAAATATATTCTATGGAAAATGTGTAGATGCCCATCTTACCATGCTTGACAAATCCTGTAAAGTGGCATGTCTTAGGAACCTTGACGGAGAGTATATGATAGCCCATTTATGACCGGTTTGCTGGGAAGCTATCCCGGTTTGCAAAAATGGTAAATTTCTCCAAGATCCGTTTCGGGGCTCTATGAACTTGCTCGAGCGATATTCAATTGATGGTGCTTTAAGCAATCTCATTGGAACAGTTATAAATCTATCGCCAATTCTAATGCCGAAGCCTTGTACAAGATGATCTGTATTATGCATAAAATAATGAAGCTTGTCCATAATTTTCCGCTTGCGTTCATCTGTAGAGGTGGCAGCAAAGCGGATCATTTTTTGAACTTGACGGCTGCCATCTTTTCTCTTTAAACAGAATTAAAGTTAACAGCATTTGTAAAATATGAGTATTAAAAATCCACATGAATATATATTGTTACATAT